ACAAATAAAGTTAGAAATTAAAAATCACGTAAGATAAACATTTTTATATCCAAGATCATCAAAATATTTGATTAAACTTGGGTCAACCTGGGGTCAACCCGGGTCAAGCAAAGGTATGACCCTAACCCGACGGGTCAGGTTGAATATAAGACTTGTGTCAAATAATGATAAACTCGATTCGGATTTTAAACATGAGTCAGGTCAAATGACCCGGGTTTGACCCGACCCTTTCAGAACACTAATAATAATCTTATATGCTAAAAATACCGTAAATACTTTCTATTAAAAGTATTTTTAAAGTAGCATATTATAATCCATTCGAAAAAGAGAAGAATCTGAATATCTACAAGATGATGAATTCAGTATAGAACACATAAAAAATACTTGTACAAAAGAAAATACAAATTATATAAAAAATAATGATTCGCAAAGCAAATTATTCTAACAGGAAAATGTTGCAAAGAAGGGAAAGAAAGGAGTTCATAACAGCAAAACTCAAAAAAGAAACCATAGATGCAAGACCATCTAACGTTCAAAATTAATAATTAATATTAGTTATAATGTAGTTTTTTGAATAAATTGGGAATGGTCTTAATGAACAATCTTTTTTTTTCACACAACTTTAATTAATTTCACAATAGTTAAACTTTAGTTTAGTCAATTAAACTTTTCATTTTTTTTTTTCTTATAATACTATAATAAATATAGTAGTAATATTGATTAACTATTAATCGGGTTTTACAATTAGTGGTTCAGAACTGATTCAAAATTTGGAACTGATAAATTCAGTTTTATAATTTGAGAAATTGGATTTTTCATTAAACTAGGACCGTGATATTAGATAAAATTTGATAAATAATTTATTATAATTAAATTTACATATTTATATTTTATCATTGTATTTTATTTTGCAAAAAAAAAAAAATATGCACTACATCTCAAATAAATCAGTTCCAGTTCGATCTGAATTTGAATATGAAACCAAAAAATCAAATTGTCTAAATTTTGAATGACATCATTTCTGGCCCTTCCTTAATTCCGGCCAAAATTATATTATAATTTTATTTCCTAAAATGGAAATGATAACAAAGGGGGGGAGGGGGTTAAAAATTTTAAAAAATTAAATGACATCGTTTATGGCCCTCCCCTAACAGATAATACTTAAACTTGGGTTTCAAATCCATTGTTGTTTAAATGAAGGTTTGTTTCAAGTTTCGAAACAGTAATTTTAGGAATATGAAAATCTAATTCAAAAATTACCTAAATTGAGAATGAAATTAAAAAAATTTTTTTTCTAATTATGAATTGATTATCGTTCCATTAATAGCAACTTTTTTTATTTTTAAAATTTATGTTTTCTTTATTTGGTAATCACTATATATATATATATATATTTAAAATTTAAAATCTAAGAAATAGCTTGGCAACAAGCCTTTTAATTCATTATCATCATAAATGAATAGTTTGATTTATTCAAACCTTTCTTATCTTGTTTTTAAATTACTATTGTTTTGTGGAAATTTAAATATTTTTTTTTTGATTGTGTTAATCATAAATGAATATTTCTTACGAAAATTTCTATTTATATCCTATAATTGCAAGCGATCAATCTAAACTACTATTAACGCGCAAAAATGACCAATTTATAGATATATAAATACATTATATTTCCTTTTATTTAATTTTTTTTTTTTAAAAAAAAAGAATACTAATAAAAATAATATAATTAATGTCTTTAAATCAAACCAGACCAAATCCTGGAACAGTCGGAATACGACCTGTAAGTAACAGGCAGAGAAATAGGCTGAATCAAGTTAGAAGACAACGAAATCAACGAAACATAAATGGATTATCTCATGGGCGTGTTCAACGCGGAGTACCCATCAATAATCAAGACATGTTAGATGACATTGCGAATCTGCCTCGACAAGTAATAAATGATCCTTTGTTGAATCAATTTTTCAATGGAATTATTTTCCATTAAATTCTTCTTGACTTTATTTATCCAAAACTGTAATATATCGTATATATATAATATTTACATAACTCACATTATTCACAAATTCTTACTTTAAATTTTATTTCCAATCGACAATTTCTATTGCTATTTATTTTAGCTTTCCTTGTTTGAATAATTTATCTGACACAAATTTTTCTCGTTTTTTAAAGTATATTTTGTGTGTATAACGAACATTATAATTTAAGCTATGGTATTAAAAATAATTACATGAAATTTATTATATGTTTATTACATGAAGGGGAATCTTTATTAGTTATAATGAATTAAAAAAAATAATCCTAACATTAATTTTTACTAGAAAATATTTAGGTCCTTTCAAATATTTACGAACTATTGAGTTTTCATTACGTGCCAACAAAGACAATAGATATGTCCAGGAAATATACCGAGGTTAAATGTCTCTATAATATCTGGAAGCATGCAAATACATTTTCCGGCATGAACTTGCATATGTTGGACAATTAACCGGTTAAAATTAATTATAATTCTTAACTTATTAGATTCTTTCTAAAAAAAAAAAATGTATTTTAATTTGATATTAGATAAATGACTACTCCAATAAAACTTATAAATTTATATCAGCAACTAAATATCTTAATTTATTTTTTTAAAAAAAAAAAAATTTTATTAATTAATCTTGAAAAACAAAATACGTAGTGAAAGCTTAATTGTTCTGAGATCTCAAGATTACTGTATTTTGCAAAATCATTTCCAAAGAATATTCCTCTCCTTTACATAGCGGCTACATTTTCATGATGAAAAGAAAGGATTTTAGACCGATGCTCTTCTCAATCACCAAACTAACAAACTGAACAAATCTTTATACTAGAATACGTCATAAGAGAGTGGTTTAATGACAATTCATTATTGTAGTTGATATCACAATCAAACCTGTATGAAGTCACTTGTGCTAAAGGAATGTATGATTTTAGAATTAGAACCCTTTTCTTAACTTTAGGTTTAATTCCAAGACTTATTTTACAAGAATACAGTACTTATTATAGATCTATTTATAATAATTTCTTTACCAATTATCAATAATATTAAAGTAGATAAACTACAGAAAAAGTAAAAATATGAATTACATTTACGCGACATAGTTGATAGGTTTTAAATGATATTATTTCGAGTTTAGATATTTCAATTATCATAAAAAAAGGATTTCAAATATCGAAAAAAACTGTCTTAAATACAACTAAAATTGATAAAAAAAAATAAAATGAAACCTTCCGAAAGAAACCTTTTCGCAAAACATTTGAATTCATATAGGGAGAAATAATGATTCATTAAAAATATATATACTTCAAAATGTCGATGATTTTAAAATTATTTTTTTAACTATGTGACGATCACTCGAAAATCCATTCCTTATCTTTATTCAAATATCTATGAATAATAATTTTTTATGCATTTAATCAGTTACGGCCATACACAGTGAAAAGCACCGGAACCCGTCCGATCTCCGAAGTTAAGCCACTGATGGCCCAGTCAGTACTACGGTTGGGGACAACGTGGGAATACTGGGTGCTGTAACTTTTTTTTCTTCTTTTGAAGAATTCATTGTTCCGTTTACAGTTACCTGGAAATAAAACATTTTTCCCGTTAATTGTCGAAACCAAAGCCGAGAAAGAACATAATAACTAGCGCCTTTTTAGATTTGGGTTTAAAACTTTTTTTCGTAAAAATGCAAGATATAACGTTGAAGTATGGCGCAATTTATGGAAAATTTCCGCGCTTTGGACGATCATCATTTCGGTATCAACGTTGTCAGAGTTATCTTTATCCTTGATTTAGATCTCTTGGTGCCAAAACTTATCATAAAAGCGTGAGAAGAATAATTAACTAAAACAAATGTACATTGACGACTTTATAATTAAAAGATAAACAATATTTATTAGTCCATTCAAAGATTTATGCAATTAAGAAACTTCAATTTTATATGAATGGAACCGGCTAATTATTAACTGATTAATAATTTTTAAAATTTGATTACCCAGTTAATTGTTAATCGGTTAAATTCAACAGTTATATATTATAAAGTTAGTTTATTGTATTTATACACTTTCAGCATCAAATATATTCACTGTCATTGCAATTACAATTGGGGTATAAAGGTTATATTTTGGCTTTTATCAAAATGTGTAATTTACATTTTAATACACTTTTTTCCGTAAATATTTTAAATATTTTTGAGCCTATAATTGCATTTTAGAGTTAACAATTTCGATTAATTATTAAAAAAAACTTTTTAACTTCAGATTAACCAAATATTTAACCGGTGTTAACCTGGATTTGAACCGAAACCAATTTGTGCAGATCATATCGCCTCTGATGACCTCACACTGCTGGCAAGTAATACATGACTTTTGTTGTATTCAGTTCTTTCGTTTATGTATTTATAAACAATTTGTAATGTAAACCGAAGGTATTAATTGAATAACTATGAAGTAATTATGAAGAAAATGTGACAAATATTTATTCAATATTATCAATTTGATCGGTGTTGCCTCAACGTCGGCGCCCTACACTTTCGCAATGTCAAAATATTAAGCTAGGCAAATGCTAAGCAATTAATTAAACTGCGCAATTACGAATAATTACATAAAAATTGAATAATAAAATACTAATAAGAATCGGAAATTAAAAATAAACGAAATTACAAATACGAAATCTAAAAGGTTAAAACGGCGAAGCGAAAATATCGCAAAGGTGTTAAAGGAAGGATTTCAAGGACTTAAAGGGCGAATCAATGAACAGCATTATGATAGGTTATATGGATACTCGATATCCCTTATAAATTTTTTAAAAGCATTTGAATCAGCTTTATAACAAAGAAAGAAAGATGCAGAATTTGCAAAATTCTGTGAAGATAATAAAACTGTTTCATTACTAACGGCAAGTTCTTATGAAAAACAAGCTTCAGGATTGTTAATAAAATACGCGTTAACAGAAACCCAGAAACAGCTGTCACAATGCATATATATAAAAACGTAAAGAAATAAACTTGTTTTTGAAGTTTTTTTTATTTTTATGCTCTCTTTTAAGTAATAATGAATGAAACTGAAGTTTCATTTTGTGTAGAACGATTTGGTAGTTAACAAAAGGGAAGGATCGTTAAATATAATATAATAGACAATCATTTTTCGTGTTCATGTTATTATATGAAATTTTCTGGTATTATATGCTAGCATATTTTTAAGTTGCAGCTCAACTAAATTTATAAGAACTTCCTTTACATTTATTTCTTATAAGATAGTAAAAGAGAACAATTGAAAATGTATTAGTTAGAATGTATAAATCATTTATAATAGTACTGGAGAATTAAGAATAAGTAATCATTGTAAAATTTCAAATGAAAAAAATGATCACAAAAATTATATATATATTTTAAATTAAACTTAATATAAAATTTAGAGAATTGTAAAGATCAAACCTGAAATAGCAAAATATTTTTACATTTTATTCAATAAATCAGTAAAAAATGAAATATTCTCTCATGTTTCAAAAAGAACTTCACGAGTTCAAGATAATAAAAAGATCAAAAATCCCAATAATATTAAAGTTAAAAGGTAAAGTTCTTTTTTAATAAATATAATTATTAATTCTTTACAACTTTTATAAAGACAAGTTTAAAAAAGAAGAAATAAATGTGAACTTGAAAATGCAACATCTTCTAAAAGACCTGCATTAATATCATATGAACAATACCATCTCTGAATAATAAAAGAGTCAATAGACAGGGATCGGTATCCCTAGATCAGTTGGTAACAACTAAACTCCTATTATGGATCACTGTAATAGCCACAGGTTCAGATTTCAGCTGAGACATAAAACTAGATAATTTTCTTAAGAATTTCATATGTAACTGAATACATGAGTATATATACTAATATGTATTGAAACTAGTTGATCGATTTGTCAATCAACATTGATTATGCCTATATACTGGGTTTTAAAGAATATGTAGATGCAAATGAAGTCAAGAATTGATAGAAACTTGGCCTTTACTGATAGGTTTATAATAGATATTATCTCACGTCTTCAAATTCAGAGACCTTTACACAAGTAAGAAAGTGATTAGCTAGTAATTAGTAGATTGAGTACTAATATCAAGATTATTATATCTTACATAACAATAGTAATAATAGACTGCATTGTATTGCTGCAACATCATCAAATCAAGCTATCACTTGGGATAGAAACTGAGTTTAATTCCTGTGTGAATTTGATGATATGGGTATGACAATCACTTACTTTTCTGAGGTTCTATAAAATAATAATGTCTAAGCCTTTTTAATTATGAAAATATCCTGATACTGAGCAGAGGTAATAGTGATCTAAATATAGTGTTAATAAATACAGAAAAAATTGATAAAAGTATTTATGGCTAAAAGTGATCCCTTTATCCAAATTTGACAGTAGTTTTGAGATCTAGAATCCCTAGGTGTTAACTCTTAAGAGGTCTTCTAGGTGGCAAATTTTAGATTAGTAATATCAATCAGATTATGAAAACACGACCTATGAGGGTCCTAAGATTGTAGTATAAAGGCTACTTTGTAACCTTACATGCAAAAACAATTGCTATATGAATTCTTAGTATCAGATACTAAAACTTAAAAAAAAAATAATAAAAGAGTCAAAGTATTAAAAGAAAATAATCTTAAAAAAAATAATCCTATTTTCGTAGATTGTCAAATTTCATCAAATAATTTTTTTAATATTTTCTAATAATTATTATTTTATTTTTAATATTAAAAATAAACTTTTAATAAAAAGATTTAGAAAAAGAAAAAAAAACACAATAACTTCACTTTTTTCAAATTTATTTATTTATTTATTTCTTATTATTAAAAATTAAAAAATTAAAACTTGATATATTAAATAATAATTAATTTTAATAATTTAATAGATAATAAATGTTCTTTTTATACAGAATTTTTATCTAATCATTTTCTAACAAAAATTCTTCTTTTACCATATAATCCTGAAAATAAGCATCATGTAATATATATAAATTTATTAGTATATACGTAACTAATAATATAGTAAATTTCATGTGATAAATAAATAAATTACTATAAAAGGAGCATGTCACAGATGCTTATTTTCAGGACTATATGGTATTAAGAAAAATTGGAAAACAAAATGGTAAATAAAGAAATATTTTTAAATAAGTAAATTCTAAAAAAAAATATATAAATAATTATAATAATAATTTTTTTTAGAGATTCCAATCCTAAAAAAAATAATAATTTTAAAAAAAAGGTATTTATAATTGATATTTTTTAGTTTATTGATATTATAATATTATATTATTTTATTAATTTTAAAAAATT